TACTTACTCCCACGTCTCCTATCACAAAGGAGTAAAAGCCCCGGGGGAATCGGCTGAAGCAAAGAGAACTGAGACAGCAGGTAGGGGGGCAGGAGGTTTGGGGCCATGAAATTGACTTCTTTCTGAAGCTGCCCTCGTTCTTCTCCCAAAGAGGAAAGAGTAAAGAAAGTTGGCTGTCCCGAGATGACCACGAGCGCAGGCTGGGCAATGTTTGCATTGAGTGGAGCATCTCCACAGTCCAGGAGAGGCTGCCCAGCCTCTACCGCGAGCTGGATATTAAAAATCAATTCTGTTTGTGGTATGGTTCTCTCTGGCTGTGTAAAAAGCGGCTTGATCTGAACCAGTTTCTTCTCAGCTAAAACTATCCTATAAAAAACAAAGCAGAACAAAACCAAAAAACAGAACCCCTTTGGAGATGTTGGAACACTTTTTTTATCTTTTTATTCGTACTGAATTACACATCCCTGGGATTCACCTTTCCCTGAGGCTCTGTGGTTACCACCACTGCTGGTGCGTGTGTTTCATTGGGGAGAAGAAGCCTTGTTAGAAATAAAGGAGAAATCCAAATAATTCACTCCCATCTTGCAGAATCAATGGAATGAAGTCGTATTTGCCATCTTCTTCATTAAAATTAACATCATTTAATAATTCCAAAAGTTTTCTCAAAAAAAAAAAGACCTTTAAAATAAATAACTAAATTTCGTAGGTGAAGTTGTTTTGAAAGGAGAGGGCGGAGTGCGGAGAACCGGGAACCGACCTCTCTGGGCTCCCCTCCACCCTTCGCAACATTTCTCCGATCTCCTATTCTTCTCACCGCCATCATCTCGTTTACAGAAAATATTTGTTTGCACTATTAGTTGGTACTGGAGTTAATTACTCAATGTGTTAACGTGAAATAATATGTATAAAAGTAGGATCAGTGTTTATTGTGTGGGTGAGCTGTTGAGCAGTGCTTGAATAAACTGCAATTAGGGTTAGATAGAGATTAATTAACATGTGAGTGGCAAGGTGTAAAATAGTCTCCAACCCTCCACTTTCAATATAATCTGCGGGCGAGGAAGAAGTTTGTATTTTTAAAGCTAATTAAATACTTTCCTACCAGCCAGTGTGTATTCACCCAGTTTGGAAAGGAAGGCACATTAGGGAGAACCTGGTTTCCCCTTCCCCCAAATATTTTCTTCCTACGGGCTGCAAGGGAAGGTAGGACGCCTTTGCAGGGTAAGGGAAGATGGTTAATATTCTCACTTAAGCATCTCTGGGGATGGAGAAAGGACCAGGTTCACGAGAAGTCTTTGCCTTTGCTTTTGTCTTCTCCGAGCGTCAGTAGATAGAGGTTGACGATTGTCCGGACTGGAAAGAAGGGTGGGAAGGTTGGATCGAGAGGGGGAGGCAAAGAGAGGGGGAAGAGAGAATAGAGTAGGAATTTAGCAATCCCTTCCCCCGCCCCACGGTATTTAGAAAGAAAATCTGTTTGTACCTCCACGCATTGTTTTGGTGTTTGGGGTGAGTTGTTTGTTTTATGTTCGGTTGTATTTATTTTTGGAGGGGCCAAGATTAATCTGAGAAGGCCAGTTTAGTTGTGCATGGGATAGACGAGCTGAGCCAAGCTCCTGCCATTCTTTTCTACTCTTGAAATGGGGAGGGGGAAACCTAGTTGGAGTAAGAACGCCTGGGAATTTAGCATCCCTCCATATCTCCAAAGTTAAATCAAGCGTACAATCCTTTCTCAAAGTTGCTAGGGCGGGGCGGGAGGGGGAGTGGGTGATGCAGGAAAGATCTTTAAAACTGAATTCAACAATGTTTTGAAAACTTCAGGGTCTTGCTGTGGATGAGAGCTGCTGCCCGAACAGCCTAGTCTCCTATAATCTGACTCCGAATTGGATGCTTATACCTCTTCCTCCCTGCCTGTCTTCTTTCTTCTCCTTCCCCGCCCCTTCTTCACTATCTAGCTATACTCTACATTCCCTCACCTGTCGAGTCAGATTCCTTGATTTCAAATTGGAAGGGAGGAGAGAGATGTAAGAAGAAAGAATTTGGGGACGGGGGAGGAGAAGTTGGAGTGGAGTATAATCAAGACCGTTTTTCTGTTTCCCCTCACCTGTCCTGCAGGACAGACAAGGGATGCAAACGCCGGTGACCCCATCTAGTAGGGGGGACACGGGGTTCTGTAACAAATTGGTGTGTCTGTGACAGCCTGGCGCGATCCTACAATCACAGTAAGCCCTCTCTGTGGCGACATATGACTACATATTTCTCCCTTGAATTTCCCACCGAATTCATCACTATAACCTTGTGTTCACAATCATAATCCTCTTTAATTACAGTTTGCAGTTATAAAGCTCATTGTCACGCTAAAACTTAGGCTGCCAAGAAATAGTTGTTCGAAGAACAAAACCTGCCCAAGTTGAAAAAAAAAAAAGGAAAAAAAAAAAGAAAAGGAAAGGAGGGGAGGAAGCCTTTAGGATCTTCTCTCCTAAACCTTCTTCTCCCCTCCCTTCTTCCACCCAGAACCCAACCTTCATCCCCAACCCAACCTTTTCCCCAGCCCCAGCCTACACCTATGCCCATGCCCATGCCCACTAGCGCCAGCAGCCTCGACCACTTTCTCGTTGTCTGGAAGAGCAAACCGGCCAGGGGCAAGCACAAGCCGCACCTCATTGAGCAGAGTTTGTTTCTGGGGCTTGTTGTGATACGCAGGTGAAAGGGTCTTTAAACAGACGGAATTTAGCCCCTCCAAATAGAGAAGGCCGCGGGCTGCCTTTGTGCGCTGCGCACAAAACGCAGGAATTCCAGCGAACTTTCCGGAGGGGCCGGGCGAGCCAAAGAGGCCTTTTCTTCGCTTTTCCCCTCCGGCCAAACTAAGTCCCTGCCCAGCCCTTCTCCCGCCCCCCTCAGCCTCTCCCCCTCCCGCTCTCTCTCCCCTCACCCCTCCCTCCCCTCTGATAATCCTCCTCTTTATTTTAGAAAAACACAAAACCCGGTTCCACGCAGTGCTTTAGTGTCTCCCAGTGAAAGAACTGCCTGGGCAGAATTGAGCTCCATGAATCACTTCGGGAAAATTGGTTCGGCTGAATGGCCTTGGGAGGAAAAACGTTTAATAGGATCCAGGGGGAGGTTCTGCTGTTTCAATCTGCTCCTTAAACAGGTGGAAATTGGACTTTCTCAATTATCCAAACAGTAAGTCCCCATCTGAGCTAGGGGAGCGGGAGCCTGGCTCTCCAAATCCTCCGGATTGGAGAGCACCCCCACCCCCAGCCCCAGCCTCCCGAGCCAGGGTTTTAATTAGAAACACAGAGTCACAGTCACAATTCTCAATTGATCAGGAAATCAAATAAACTCCCGTTTTTTTTTTTTTAAGGTTTTGTATTTTCCTCGCCAGGGACAAGAGGATACGTCCAAAGTGGCGCACCCACACATTGGGAACCCCAAGGGTACTGGTAATAGGCCCTAGGAGATTTTCCTTGATGAATTTTTCCCCCTTTCCTCCCCACCCCACTCAATGCAAAAAAAAAAAAAAAAAGATCGAAGTTCATGCATTTGCATGAATTAATATTTCCCCATTCCTCCCCCAAAATAATTCCCCCTCCTCCAAACCCGGAGCGGGGGGCCAGGCGGCACATCCTAATGAGGTAATTAGCATTTGCGCGTGTATCCAGCCGGGGCTGGCTCCGTGGGTAAGTGGCAATTTATGATAACGATGCCCAGATCAGTAGCAGAGGGCCAAGGGGCCACTTGAAAGAGCAGACGGCCACGCAGTGACCATTTGGGGGAGGAGGTGGCGGGGCTTGGGCCCTAACTCCCGCTGCCCGCAGCTCGAGCCAAACTCTCAATTCTTCTCCCCGAAGTCCCTGGGAGCTGCAACCAGGAAAAGTTGTGAATCACGCACCAAGTCTGTCTTTTCCACTCCCCCCTACCCTCCACGGACCTCTCTCACTCACTCTCTCTCTCTCTCTCTCTCTGTCTCTCTCTCTCTCTCTCCCTCTCTCTCTCTCTCTCTCTCTCTCACACACACACACACACACACACACACACACACACACACACACTCCTTTCTCTGTATCCGCTGTCTCTCTCTCTTTTTCTCTCCCCTGCTTAGCAAGTGGCGCGCACTTGCCCCAGGGGCGCTCGGATACTCGGCTGCAAATTGTCCACATTCAACTTTTAGGGGCTACGGGTGGCTGCTGCGCCTGCGGTTTGGTTGTGGCGCCAGGTGCTGCTGGGCCGCCTGGCGCTAACTGGGCGCGCGGAGCTACGCCGGGGCCACCGCCGCTGCCCTCTGCTGCTGCTGCTGCCGCCGCTGCCGCCACCGCTGCCGAGCTGCTGCTGCTGCTGTGAGCGCAGCCCCGTGCGCTCATGTCATTCTGCTGTAAGTGACTTCATGTGATGTCAGCTAAATGTAAAAGACAGTGATCTCACGCGGAGGGAAGATGTTGGCTATCAAAATGTGACAGTGTAGCCCTGCTGCATGCCTCGTACGCATCTCTCTCCTCGGCGCCGGGGGAGAAAGGTAAACGTACTGATTTTGCATCTTCTTTTATTTTTAAATTTTCCGCCCTTCTCCTACTAGTTTTTGGTTTGAGTGTTAGAGAGTCCGGGCTACTCAGGAACGCCGGGGGTCTTGGGGGGGGTCGTTTTCTCCCTTCTTTCATTTTCCACCTTTTTATCCTCCCTTCTTCTCTTCCTCTCCCCCCCCCCAATTTAATCTGAGGAGGTCTAGATTGGTCGGTTACTTTGTGCGACCTGGTTAATGAGCAGTGATCTGGTACCTTTGGGTGCTCATTGTTTAGGGCTCGGTTTATTTGAATGCAAATGGGTGGCCCTACTCGGACAAGGCGTTTATTAAATTGATGTGTGTTCCCTGCCTTTTCTGGAATGCAGAGTTAGATCGGAGCAACGTCGCCCGGGAGGGAGGCCGGCTTCGCCCCCTACTCCCCACCCTCTGCGCCCCAGCACCCCTGCTCCCTTCCGAGCACCGGAACCCGCGACAACTTTTCCTCGAGATGGCGAGCTCGACTTCCCTCGAGACCATGGTCCCATCGTCCTGTTCCCGGACCGGAGCCTCCACTGCCACGTCCAAAACCTTGGCCTTCTCCATCGAGAGGATCATGGCCAAGACTTCGGAGCCCAAGACCCCCTTCGAGCCCCGGGGACCGGGGGGCCTGGAGGTGGACGGGGGCGCCAAAAAGATGCTCAGCCTTTGCTCGTCCTTGCCTTGCATGATCCCCATCCAGCCGCTGGGCTACGAAATGCCGTCCAAGGCTCTGCTCAACTACACCGAGCTTTGGAAGAGTAGCCTCCGGGGCGGCGGCGGCGGCGGAGGCGGCGGCGGCGGCGGCGGAGGAGGAGGAGGAGGAGGAGGAGGAGGAGGAGGCAGCGGCGGCGGAGGAGGTGGTGGCGGTGGGGGCAGCGGGGGAGCCCAGCTCTGCGGTGCCAGCGGCTTGTGCAAAGCCAACTGCGGCATGTGCTGCAAAGCGGAGCTGAGCCTGGCCCCGTCCGTGCTGCCCACCGGCAGGGTCATCAAGCCTCAGGTCATCAACCAGGCCGTGGGGCTGCCGGCCAACGGCTCCCTCTATTACTTCAATTACCTGGAGTCCTCGGCGTATCCGCCTTCGGAGCTGCTCAATGGGCACCTCTTCCCCTCCAGCATCCTCAACTCCCAGTCCCCGGCGTCCCTGGCCACCCACCAGAAACTCTTCCTGTTGGAGAACGCCAAGCTGGCCACGTTGGCCGCGGACAAATTCCCCCATCCCCCTTACCCCCACAAAGAGCGCCTGCCCGGGCAGCTGGACCAGGTGATGAAGGAGAACACAGCACTGACGGCAGAGCGCAACGGGGCCAAGAGTCACGGTAAACTGGCCGCGAGCTCCGCTGACGGCAAGCCCAAGAACTTCACCTGCGAAGTGTGTGGCAAGGTGAGCCGGCTAGGGGCCCCCGGAGAGAGCCCTGAGTGATGAGAGGGAGGCTCCCCACCTCTCTATCGCTCGGACTTCCCTCTCGGCACCCGGCAGCGCCCGCTTCTAGCTGCATGTTGAGGATGCCAAGAGGGGGTCCAGGAGTTGGGAGGATGGATGGGGGTGGCCACAGGGAATGGAAACCGTTAGCCTGCCTAATCCCAGGGCCAGGAGCAGAGGCCAGGCCGGTGAGGGGGTATGAAAATAGAGGAGGCCTGCGGAGGTGGGGTGTGTGAGCTAGCCTCTCCCCTCTGGGCTTGCCCTACAAAGCCCTCTCGTGTCCCGCCCCTCCACTAGGTGTTTAACGCTCACTATAACCTCACTCGTCACATGCCGGTCCACACGGGAGCCAGGCCGTTTGTCTGCAAAGTCTGCGGGAAGGGCTTTCGGCAAGCCAGTACCTTGTGCAGACACAAAATCATCCACACCCAGGTACGTGGCCTTCGCCCGGGCAGCCCAGGCTGATGGCCTGCTCCCCCGGGGCTGGATGAGGGCTATGCCATCCCCCGAAAAGAGAGGGATGGGCAGGACAGAGGGACCCCAGGGACCTCCTCGAGCCACTCTGAATGGCTCCAGCCTCTCTCTCTCTCTCTCTTTCTTTCTCATAGCTAGGGGCCAGAAGAGGCCAGAGTTTAGGCTTTCCCTAACCGAGTCATCTCCTCCACTTTGGGGGTCCCTCGCCTCAAACTCTCTCTGTCTCCCGCCCCCTTCCTCCACCCCAGGAAAAACCTCACAAATGCAACCAGTGCGGCAAAGCCTTTAACCGGAGCTCCACGCTTAACACGCACATCCGAATCCACGCGGGCTACAAGCCTTTCGTCTGCGAATTCTGCGGGAAAGGGTTCCACCAAAAAGGTACTTGGACCTCCAAAGCTATTGCCTGAAGGAAGGGGGACAACAAGTGAGGGAGAAAGAGGAGGTGGGGGAGAAAACCCAATCCCACTTTAGTTTAGAATCTCTTTTTCCCTGGTTTGTTCCTAACATCTTTCGGCGGAGACATTTGTCCTAATTATACCGAGGGAGCCCAGCGGGACTGGCCTATGGGACTCAGTCTTAGGGCCTGGGCTAGGGAGAAGATGAGGGCAGGCTTTTTCTCTCAAGACAAAGATTTATTTCCTAGCATTCAGAAGGGGAAAATGGAGGAAAAGCAAAAACCTCCAAAATGATAGAGTCCTTGGGAGAAGTTTGGAAAGATGTTCCTTTACTGTGCTAAGACAGCAATAAGAAGGGGTGAGAAAAAGAAGGTCCCGGAAATAGAGTGAGGAAGTTGGGACTGTAGAGGAGAACACTGGAGACAGAAGAGGAAAGGCCCAAAGTTGCAACTCCAAACAAGACCCTAAGGTTTCCTTCATATCAGTCAGGCAAAAGGAAATCTGTTAACTTCCTCTCAAGTCACTCTCAAATGCCGGTCTGCTTGAGTTTTCAGCTTTCCTAGACAAACATACACAGACATATTATGCACACACACATATATACACATATGTATATATGTGAGGTTACACATATATGTATATATGCATTTCGTTTGTGTGTATAAAATGTGCACATATGTATTTAGTTTGTGTGTGCATACCGCATGTATGTGTAAGGGTGGTGACTTACATATGTATTGAATTTGTGTGTGCATATTAAATGTGTGTGATCTCAAATGTGTATATTTAATATCTTGGACAGAGGTGGGGAAAAGAGAGCCTTGAGAATACAGCCTAAAGCTGAGAGGTCTTTGAATTTCTTCGACTTCCCAAAGTAAAGAGAGACTCCCTAACTCCCCAGTGGAAAGTCTGGAAGAGAGCAAGATACCTTTAAACTCGCGCGCACGTACACACACACACACACACACACACACAGAGCAATAATGGGCAGTGAGGAGAAGGCAGGCAGGCAAGTTGGTGGTATGAGTCAGAACTCTGACCCTCCCTCAATCTTGTAATTTGGAGTCACTGCATTCCCCATACACTGCTGCACCTCTTCTCCATCTCCAGATTGATGGAAAGCAAGTTTGACAACTTCTTGACTCTCACTTGTGGGACCCAGCCTAATGAAGCATTGCCTCCTTGGGGCAACAACTGAAGCATGAATCCCCACCCCCATCCCCTGCTCAGACCAGGCCTGGGACCCTGGAATCTCTCTCACCTCTCCCTCCACCATCACCACCACCATTCAAACCCATTCTTTTATTTTTCTTTTTTTGGTAGGAAACTACAAAAATCACAAACTGACCCACAGTGGAGAGAAACAGTACAAGTGTACCATCTGCAACAAGGCCTTCCACCAGATTTATAACTTGACTTTTCATATGCACACCCACAATGACAAGAAGCCTTTCACGTGTGCCACTTGTGGGAAAGGATTTTGCAGAAACTTTGATCTAAAGAAGCACGTGAGGAAACTCCACGACAGTGTGGCCGCAGGAGCCCCTTCCACGAAGGACTTGCCCCGGACTGTGCAGAGCTGAAAGCTGCAGCTCCAAGCAAGACCTGGTTCCTCTCCCTCCACACCACCTGCCCCTCGGAGACCAGAGAGAGACACTGATTTCTAAGATTTAAATAGATATATATATATATATAAATATAAATATATATATACATACAGCAGAGAGGTTAGATCTATTTATCGAAAACCAACATCTATTTTGGAAAGCTAAAATGTCTCCCTGTGACTAGGGAGCAGAATTGTGCAAACACCCCCAGACACACACGTGTACAGAAAGGGGAAAACTTATTTCAAGTGAAGTTCGGGACCTCAGAGCTCCCCGGAGACATTTGTTTGAGGGGTGACAGAGGATGGGGGGGAGGGTAGACTATCTGAACCTAACTTTTCGGCACTGGCTGAATATAAGGGAGCTGGATTATGAGCCCATCCACTTTCTACATTTCTGTAAATTTCCATGTACGATTGATTAAGGAATATATCTATATATGATTATAATAAACCGATTCCATTCGCAAGAGTCCTCTTTGCCCTCTCCCCAGCATTGGGAGAGGGCGGTGGATGGAAATGTCTTTCCTCTTCTATCTTGTTTCCTTCTTTCTATCCATTCTTCCTTCCTTCTTTCATTCTCTTCCCCTTTTCTTCCTTCCTTCCATCCTTCTTTCTCTTTTTCTCTTTCTCTTTCTTCTTTCCTCCATTTCTTCCTTCTTTCCTCCCTCCCTGCAGCTGATGTTCTGACCATATTTCTAAAAGTTATCTTTTGTGTTTTTCAAGCCAGCCGGGAGCTTGCCTGAAGGAGATGCGCTGGAACCGCAGTGGGAAGAGAAATCTCCACACGTTTGTGGAGTGCTCTTGGGTAACTGAGCTGGCACACTAGTGGGCTGGGGGGCTTCTATTCGACTTACACAAACATCGAAATGCTTTGTTTTATTCTGTTGTGTTGTGTTTAACTAACGTGTGACCTACAGTGAGATGCGCCTTCCAAAGGAAAGGATAACCGTTATGCCAGGGTGTTGAATTTCCTACGCAGGACCAGGGGCGAAATGTTTTTGTGTTGTGGGAAAAACACACTGTGTGGCCGAGCCAGGAAGCGCCCGTTTGCTGGACTGCTCTGCAGGGAGAAGTTTCTTCTGTTTCTCTAGCTGGAGAAGTTGGTGGGGAAAGTGGGAAGAGAGGGGGAGAAGGGAGGGCTGGGAGCGGCGATGACGGTGCGGAGCACGTAGGTGCGCCCCTGGCTGTACTATCGTATCGCAACAGTATTGGCCCGCGCGCATTTCCGGTCTACTCCTCCTCTTCTGTTCATTTTACTTACCTGGGCTTTCGTTCACAGAATTTGATCTGCTACTCCCGCAACCCCAGAAAGGCCCAGGGCTGTCTCCAAGACGGCCTCCTACTCCCCAACACCATACGCCTCTGCCTCCTGGACCCATAAAGAACCCCCCCCCCCCCCCCAGTCCTTCCCCAACTCCGGGGGGAATGTTCACCTCCCTCTCTTTTTCTCTTCTTTTTTGAAGGCCAGTGGCTACAGGGACTAGTGGCCTGGCGCTCATCCCCAAGGGAGAAAAGTACTCAGGACACAGAGAGAGCAGTCGGGCCTTTTCCAGATTGGGACGCCAGAGCCTGGGATGCCTGAGGCCAAGGAGCCGCCAAGCAGGTCCCCTTCCTCCCCGGTCCACTCCTCACCTCCCAACTTCCCACCAGCTATCCAAGCAAGGACGCTCTCTCCCTAGGGCTCCCGGGACAGAAGAAAGATAGCGGGGCTCACCTCAGGGCCTTTCCCATCACCAACTCAGTCCGCTTCAACAACCCCATCTCCATCTTACCCTACTCAATTGGCATTAAATAGTATTATTACTTACAACAACAATAATAATCTCATTCCTCTCATCTTTTTCGACGGAGTTCAGATGGAAACGATCCTGGGCTATTGCTGTTCTGTTATTATTATCTAACATTTAATGTTCCGAAGACTATTATTATTATTAATCGGGTACTTAAGGCGGGGGTCTCTCTCCCCACCCCTGAATTAAAGTCGCATGAAATGCAGAATAATGACGGTTTTCATAATCTAACATGTCACCTTTTGGTCCCTTAATTAAGACGCATTTAAACAATTTCCTGAATAGCTATCTTTTTTTTTTTCTCGAATGCTGATGAAATGATCTCACGCTCGCTTTCTGAGTAATGACCCAAATTAAGAGAGAAAACAGAGACCCTTCAAACCGCATTACATTAATCATCTAATCATTCCCAGGAGGGGGGCCGGCTGCCTGAACCCTTTTTGATCAGAATATGGATAATCAAGTACTTGGATTACATCAACGGGCGCGCCGGGCAGGCCCCCCTGCGCAGCCCCAGTCCCCCGCATACCCCCCCACTCCCGACTATGCAGCCGCCGCTGCTGCCCTCCCCTATTTTTAATATCCAAGCGCCTATTCAACCCACGTCTTTTGGAACAATATTATTCTAGGGGGGAAAAGGGACGCGGGTTGCGGTCCGTGTGCGTGCTGCTCAGCCCAAGCTCGCCAATGAAAAAGGAAATAAACGCGTCGGGCTTTGTCTGGGGGCTGATTAAAGAGCTTTAAGTGTGTAGGAAGGGGGGGTTGACAGCGCACCCCACTAGATTAAGCGGCTGAAATGCAGGGAAGGGGGAGACAGGGAGCTCAGTCACCCTCAATCCCACTCCCTCCTCCCGAAACGGGCTTTAATTAGGGACTGCGGTGGGGGGATGGGAAGGGACATGAGGCAACGTGGCCTCTCAAACTGAAAAGTTGAATCGGAGGAAAGATGGTTATTTTCTGTTTTATATCTGAGAGGGACAGGGGGTTCAGCTGAGAACGTATTTGCTGCTTTTGGACCTCAATTTATTCATCTGTAAAAGAAGAGAGTTAAATGAAGAGATCTCTAAAATCTCCCTGAAGTCATAAGAGTCTTCGCTCTACGTCCTAAATCTGCTTATGATCTGGGTCCCAGTTTGTTCATCTGTGAAAGAAGGAGGTTGGGCTGGATGAGCTTGGCCTTTGAGGACCTTTCCAGCTTTAAATCTATGACCTCTGTTCTCTAAGGTCCCCGGCAAACCTAATGATTTGTGATCTAGTATTGAAATCTGCCTATGTTCTAGGCCCCAATTTGGTCAACTGCAAAAGAAGTGGGTTGGACTACCCAGTCTCTAAAGTTCCTTGCAAACCTAATATTCTGTGATCTAGAAGATGAGCCCCAGTAAAAATGGTGGCTTCACTCTAGGGTCACTAAGATCTCTTCTTGTAAGTGTAATATTCGGCTGCATGATCTAAGATCTAAAGCTGTCTCATTCACTCCACCATCACCCCCACCCCACCACCACCACCTTGAATTTGGAAACAAACCCAAAGTTGAGGGTTTTTTTGGGGGGGCGGGATTTTGAGTTTCTCCCTGTAGGGATGCCTGATTCCAGGGGAGTCAGGGGCTCTCCTCATTTTAGGACTCCTCCACAAAAAAGGACCTTGCTGAGGCCCAGACAGGACAGGCACCTCAGCCTCTTTGCATTCCTCTGGCTCCCACCAATGGTTCCCCCAACTCACATGCCCATTGAAAGAAAAAAGAGAATTTGTCAACTTTAATTGTAAAGAGGCCGACAACAGCTTCATCAGGCTGTCGCTGGGTATTTTTAGTGTCTCCGATTCAGAAATAGGAACATGTACATTATAATTCCATTTCCTGAAAGGATATGGTCCTGATTCTTCCCCACCACCTCCCCCCAAACAGCTCCAAGAAGCCTGGGGAGATGGGAGGAGTGGGGAAAGGAGGGAGGGAGGAAGGGAGGGAGAATTTAAATGTTAGATTTCTTAGTGACTCGAATTCTCTGCAAAGGGAGGTTTGGTCCCACTGGAGCATGTAGTTTCTACTCTGGAGTCTCTGTAGACTCTATCCTCTGCAGGAAATCTCAGTCTTATGTAAAAGAGCCCTTCCTGTCTGAAGACAGGGCAATAGCAGATAGTTTCCTAAGCATCTGTCCGGGATGGCGGACAGGAGCTACTTTTAATGATCTCTGAGTCCTGTGGGTACTGCTTGAAACTGGTGCAGGGGCATGTTGCCCTTTCGAGGGGAGGCACATTTCGGTTCCATCAATCACATGCATTAATTCCCACATAGTATCCCTTCCCCAACAAAAGGTGGTCTGGAGTTTTTGTGCTTTTTTTCCCCTTGTTTTGTTGTTGTTGATCAGTCTTTGGACCAGAGATTTATCTGGAGGAGAGAAACTTACAAACAGGCAGCATCTTTTTTTTTTTTTTAATAGCAGAAATTACACTTCTGATTCTAGTTGTTTCACTTTGGGAAAGTCACTTAACTTCTTTTTAGTCCCAGCTCCTCCTCTATAAAGATGGAGATAACACTAAAGTTGCCTCAGTTTCCTCATCTGTAAAACGGGGAAAGTGAACCAGCTGGCTTCTGAGGTCACGTCTCCCTTTAGAACTACAATCCCATGATCCTACAAAGCCAGCTTTTTCTTGACCCATCACTGAGTCAGTCAACAAACGTTTATCAAGTGAATCTATGTGCCAGGAATCATCACTCTTGACAAATGTGGAAATCTGTTCATTCAAATCTAGGTGTTTTGTTTTGTTTTTTACTAATTTAAAAGCAAAAAATTTGGGGAAACCATGGAATACAACAGTTTTTTTTTCTTCCTCCCATCCCCCAATATATAATAGATCAGAGATGTCATTTTCTCCCAAACAGCAGTCTTCTCTCCCTCTCCATTTACCTGTCCTCTCCAAAATAATCAACCGAAAGGGTGAGCATTCTTTGAGGAGTCCTCCTGCAAAACTCTTCCTTGAAACCTCCAAATGAGAAATCACACAATTTTAAAATGAGTTAGTTTTGCTAGATGACCTCGAACAGAAGAGATTTTGCTTGCCTGCAAAAGCAGTGCCAACAACAATGAAAACCTTTAGATCCAGGTAAGAGTTTGTAGGCAGAGTTACTATTGGCTTCCCTCTGCAAAGACCTGGGAGCTTTGGAGCTAGAGAGTTCCATTCCAAAGTC